AATCGATTAATTCATAAAAAATCGATTTTTACAATTTAAATAATCCATTAATTCATAATAATCGATTTTTACAATTTAAATAATCAATTAATTCATAATAATCGATTTTTACAATTTAAATAATCAATTAATTCATAATAATCGATTTTTACAATATAAATAATCAATTAATTCATAATAATCGATTTTTACAACATAAAAAATCGATTAAATGGTACTGACTTCGAACCACTGATCTGAATAAAATTCTAATCGATTTTTAGTAAGTAAATAATCGATTTTCGGCCACTGTTCATCATCTTCTTCCTCGGTCAGTTTTAACATTATCATTTTTAATCACCAAACTTCAATTTAATTATATAAAAATGTTCTCCAATGTTCACAGATCATTTTAGAGTCATTAATTTGTAATTTTAACAACAATTTAATTGTTTATGATTCTTGGTTCTTCAAACATGTCAAACACAAAACTCAACCAAACGACCGTTTATGAACGTAGAAACAATCTATATGAACATTATAGTCACTAGATATATCTACGGGCTTACCTCCAAGCTTATCGAAGGTTTTGAGAATTTTCCGGCGAAACTTCCGGCGAGGTTTCTGGCTAACTCTGGCGACCTCCAACCCTCTGGACAGCACCACTCCACTCTCCACACTCTCAGGGACAAAAAGGAAGAAGAAAGGAAGAATTTGGTGTAAAAATGGTATATGGAAGCCTTCTTATATAGTAGGAAGGAGAGGAAGCTGCCAAGGGAGAGAAACATCATCCACGTTCGAGGACGGCTCAGTGCGCTAGGCTGCGATTTGATTCGATTATACATGCTTTTCTTTGATTGGGGCTAATTTTAGTTCTAGTCGAGGTACACTTTTTGGTCCAACTTTCTCTGAATTGAATTCCGTTTGCACCGTTGCGATCAGAGAGTTAAACTCTATCCATAAATATAATTTTTATATTTATTTGTAACACTTTTTCGGAAATCATATTTTTGGGTGGTTGACTTTGACAGAGTCAAAATTGGTTTAATTGACCTTTCTCATAAAAGGTTCTCTCATTTAATTCACATCAATTATTCTCATGATTTATTTCAACAAATCATTTCAATATTTACATTCTAAACAAATTCTTTATTTACTCTTGATTTGAGTCTGTACTCAAGTTCCCAATCAAGACCACACAAATAGTCCACATATTGGATTTATCTCTATGAGACTTATCCAGATTTTGATATTAGATGTTAAAACAAATTTCATATCGGCCCAAAGTCCAACAATAATTTATTTTAATTAAAACAATTGTGATTAATTGATTATTTATTCATTAATAATTCTAGGGTATGTTTTGGGGCGTTACAGGAACCGTGATTCAACGTTGCAATAATGAAGGCCCTCTCTATCCTCTACGCCCACACGACTCCACCGCTCAAGCCCACGTTGCTTCTGTCTCAGCCCAAACGTGGCATCAACGTCTTGGTCACCCTAGTCCTACAGTTCTAGATAGCGTTCCTTATTTATCTTCCTTTTCTTTTAATAAACAACTTCAACATAATTTATGTCATGCTTGTTAATTAGGGAAGCATGTTCATCTTCCTTTTACTTTTTCTGCTAGACTTTCCCATTTCCCCTTTCAATTAATACATACTAATTTATGGCAATCACCTGTTTCTAGTATAACTGGTTTTAAATTTTATATGCTTCTTCTAGTTTATTATTCTCACTACTTATGGGGTTTTCCACTTCGACATAAATCTGATGCTTTTTCTCACTTAACTGATTTTGTTACTTATGTAAAGAACCAATTTAACACAACCATCAAATCTTTACAATGTGACAACGAAACTGAATACAGAAACACGCCCCTCCAAAATATGTTTAACTTTCTAGGAATTCTATTCCGCTTCTCTTGTCCTCACACCAGCAAACAAAACGGCCGGGCGGAACGCACAATTTGCACTGTGAACAACACCATTCGCACTCTGCTATTTCAAGCCCAACTACCTCCTAAATATTGGGTTGAAGCCCTCCACATGGCGTGCCATCTCTTCAATCTTCTACCCACCACCACCCTCCAACAACGCATTCCTCATGAAGTTCTCTTCCAAACACCACCCACTTACTCACACCTTTGTGTCTTTGGCTGTCTTTGATATCCCAACACTCTGCAACCGCCCCTCACAAACTCTCCCCGCGTTCGGCTCGGTGTATTTTTCTTGGTTATCCATCCAACCAACGGGGTTTTCGATGTCTCGACCTCACCACTAATAAAATAATTATCTCCCGCCATGTCGTCTTTGATGAATCCACATTTCCCTTCGACCACTCCCTCTCCCCGTCCGAACTACAATTCTTGGACACTCCCGACGACGTTACCCCATTTCATCTCCACACCTCCCCCAACCCGTGGCCCATCGTCCATCCTCTCTCTCGGACCACCCCCGTATCCCCCACGCGGCCCAGCCCCTACAACCCACGGCCCAACCTTCCCAACCCGACCATATTGCGGGCCAGCCCACCCCCCTTCCCTTATCCTGCAACCCGCAGCCCACA